GAATCTAGTAACTTTATGTATATGGACCATATTTCGTAAATATCTCGAAAATTATTTATCAAAAAATTCTCAAGACAAAATGACTGAAAAAGAATGTCAAACATAAAAATAACTATTTTAGATGACTGGAAATAGAAGACTTAAGCCTTGGTTTCTTTGAACACACCGTCGCGGTGAGCGGACAGTCTGTCGACCGCTGAGGACAGCAATTTTCGCCCGAGGTGGTTTGTTAAAAAATATAGAAAATGATACTTTCTCTATGTCTGTACGTGCGTTTATGTATTATGAATGTAAACGAACGGTACTAAAATGGATGCAAATAAATTGTTTGCGTTGTTATTATTGTTGGAAGAGGAAGAACAAGAGGAACTGGCAATTGCAACCGTCAAAGTTTCCAATAAGTCAGTGGATGAGTTGTTTTTGTGTCGCGATACAGAAGGTGCCTTTAATATCACTGTGCAGTGGAGGCTTTTTGGAAATGAAACCAAATTTAGGGAGTATTTTAGACTTTCTACAGATCTTTTTGAATTCGTGTTGAGTTTTATAAAGGACATAATTTCCAAGAAACCTAAAAATAAAGTCATGATGTCATCTGTATGTGTGAATTTGTCACTCATTGTTTTAAAATTAATAACAATATAGTCTCTGCACACGCCGATGATTCCGCTGATATCAAACTCAACAGATATCAACCGACTCTTCGCGACAAATCAGCGGCATGACGCCGTCCTGCTCAGCTAAGCGGATTAAAGAAAACCATTCCCATTTAAATACTCTGGTTGGATAAAATTGTCAAAACGCGACGGTTGACGGACTGTCCGCTCACCGCGACGAAGTGTTCAAAGAAACCAAGGCTTTACGAGCGGGATTTCCGGAAAGCAAAAAAAAGCGCCCCACAATTTAAAGGAATGTGTCGAAAAAAATGTAGGATTAGGTGATAACAAAAGGAAAAACTAGAGAGTTTGTCTATATTATATATTTTATTATTTATTTAGAGTTTATTTCTCAAAACATATCTTTTCTTTAGACTGTAATAGTTAACCATTTTCGTAGGCTCAAAAAATAAATGTTAAATCTTATCTTCCAACTTATACAAGAATAAATATTATCTATCCTCGCTAATATATCAAGAGTTTTTTTCAATACCTATTGTATAGGAGCAAATGTACTACTTGTAACTTATACAAGTGGTACATTTGCAATAGGTATTGAGAAAAACTATTGATATATTAGCAGAGATAGATAATGTTTATTCTTGTATAAGTTAGAAGATAAGATTTAATATTTATTTTTTGAGCCTATGGAAATGGTTAATTATTACAGTCTAAAGAAAAGAGATGTTTTGAGAAATAAACTCTAACTAAATAACATAGACAAACTCTCTACTTTTTCCTTTTGTTATCACCTAATCCTACATTTTTTCGACACATTCCTTTAAATTGTGGGGCCCTTTTTTCTGCTCTCCAAAAATCCCGCTGGTAAGTCTTCTACTTCCAGTAGTCACCTAAAATAGTTATTTTTATGTTTGATATGCTCATTCTTTGATGTAAAAAATTATAAGTAACGCAAAGTCATTTTGTTTTGAGAATTTCTTAATAAATAATTTTCGAGATATCCACGAAATATGGTCCATATACATAAAGTTACTATATTCATCATTGTAAAGATATAAACAAATTTTCATACTTTAATAACACCACTGCTCGAAGTCGTTACCAATCGTTAAGTTACAGACATAAACCAGAGACAATCCAGCGAGACGTGTAACTCAATGTATTTTTTTTGTTCGGTAAAAGTTATTTGGGCGATTGTAACCACAACCAGTCTATGATGGCGCCACTAGTAAATTGCGGGAAAATTAAAAATGCTTTAGGGCGGGAAATTCAAACATGGATTCAGAAATAAAGTTTTTCTATACAAATTTACAGGAGAAACAAAAACTATTGTTTCACTGTATATTAAAAAAATATAAAAGCTTCCAATAACATCAAATTTTTTATCACATAAATAATCATTTTAATAAAGGAAGTTTTAATCAGTTTAATATAAACAGTGAACATAGTTTTTATTACTCTTGTAAATTTCGCTAAAAAAAAACTTGAAAAATTCTATTGATTATTAAATATTTAAACTTGGAAAAATAATACACCAAACTCTTTTTCTATAAATTATATTTTTGTAAGGTACAGAAAAACAAACTACAATTGTTTAGAAAGTACATCATATCATTTTGTGACAAATTACAAAGAAAGTAACAGTTGTTATATATTCATAATATATTTAAAAACTAATGTAACAAATATTTTATAAAGTATAGTATCGATACCTTTTTGCCAGACTATCATAAGTGCCATTTGAACAAATGTCACTTATGTTAGTCTGGCAAAAAGGTATGGATATGTTATGACTGTTTATTTTAATAGAAACCATGGAAACGAAACACACATACACTCAACACAAATGTATAAGGCCCGAGTCAAGTAAGTTCCCATCCTGTAAACTGGATCGAAACCTGCTAGACCCCTGCTAACTCCTCTTATAGTAATCAAGATCAATATATTTATATGCCATGCCTTCTAAAAGGGAATGAAGGATGACATACTATCATCATTTAAACAGGACGTTGCTGAAGGCTTACCCCTGTTATTTCGTTTGTTTGTGTATCTTGTGTGTGTGCATTCCTGTTGTGTCCCCAGTCATGTAAAAGTTTTCCTAGTCTCCTAATTTGGTTACTAGGTGGACCTTCTCCAACTAGTAGATTAGACTACTATTCAATCTGTTCAGAAGCAGGAGGTACTTTTCAAACATAGCAAATAATATTATTAATAATAAACACTATTTAAAGATAAATACATTTTTGTAATTTTTTTGTCATTGCCCCTTACCTTTCTCTTACACCACCAGGGTATACCTATTTTCCATATTCCCTTAATTATAGATTACCTTACAATGTTCGAATGAATATAACATTTTACTCATGAAAAATCTAATTTCATATTTAACTCTTTTTCAATTTCATTTGAAACAATAATTGGTACCTATATTACAATTTATTATCAAAGAAAATTTCTAATAAAGTTATAGCAAATCCTACTTAAACTACTGGTTGTTCTGTAGGATAAATTAACTTTTCTTGAGATTGATCTCTCTATAAAATCCAAAACCGACCTGATGTCCCCAAATTTATTTTCCAATGCATCCTGATTTAAAATTCTGCCCATTTGTGATTCAATTTTTTTTCTTTCTTTAGAGTGGCTGTTAGAGGTAGGTGTATGTAAGAAATAGCTAATCTCTAATCATTTCAAAAGTCCTTTGCCAATACTACATGTGCAGATTTTTTACTCGGCATACATTTTACTTTTCTAGTAGATAGGAACTTTGTGCTGCCATTAAAGCTGTCCAGACATTCATTTACCTACTTAATGAACACAAGTAGCTGTAACAATGGATCTCTGTTCCAATTCACCTAAAATAATTATAGTAATTGTGTAATATATTATTAAACACACACATTATACAGTGGTTTTCTTAATAAATTAGAAATTACTTACCTCTAGAAAGAAATGTGTACAAAAACGCGAGTTTGGTTCCAGAAATTGCTTCATGCAAAAAATAATATGCAAAAATAAACATTCCCCCCCAAAGAAAATTAATTAAACAACAAAATCAGACTAAAAGAAATATACGTGGCCCAAATTAAATTAATTTTAATAAAATGCACATGTTCATAACAACATTCATAACATTGTCAGTTGTCAGTTTTAATACTTTTAATCGATATTTCTACGTCAAAAAACCAGCAACACCAGCGCCCTCTGAAAATGGTGTTAGTTTTATTGGAGAGAGATAGACATATGTAAAGATCAATGTAAAAGAAAAAGAGGGTCATATATGTATTTTAAATGGACCACCGAACATATTTTCCTATTAAGTTACACGTCTCTGTTGTCTCTGCATAAACTAAGAATTACGTCGGCAACTTATTATTACGTCTTCGGCATCGATCGGAAATCCGATTCTCTTTGTGTCGGTAACATATGAATATGCGCCCCGGGCAAATGTCCAGGTTATCCGGCCTTGAAGCGGGCCCTGTCATACTACCCCACTTTTAAAGTTTATTTTTAACTATTTTAAAAAGAAAAAATATGTATGTGTAGATAAAGGTTAAATCTATGCTCCTCTGAAATCACTTTTTCAAAATTAAATTTAGGTTTTCTAAAAACAAAAATGAGAAAATGGGTAAAAAAACCGAGTTTTGCATTTTTTTAGAAAAAAAAAAAAGAATCAAATTTTGAAAAAGTGTCTCCAGAACCTTTACCTACATGCTCATATTTTTTTCTTTCAGAAAAAGTCAAAAATAAACTTTAAAGTGAGGTACTACGAAACCCTTGCATGCTTTGCTCTAAAGCCAAGTAAATACTCCTCTTAATACGGACACATTTTTTTTTATCTACTTGTTGCCAAGGATAAAAATCTCACCATTTTGTAGAGCAAAATAATTATATGATTGTTTTTGTTTACCTATTTTTCTCTTTTGGCAATTACTATTTATTTATACTTATTTCGCATTTTTTTCTGATACCAGGACTTTCAAAGCGTAAGAGGACACTTAGAATTGGTAAATATATTTCATTATTTAAAAAAGGGATGATCAGTATCGTACTTTTTAGATGAATTGAATCCCATGATTTTTTATCATTGATGCATTTCTGCCTAATTGAATATGTAACCCTTAAGCATATAGTAATGCATTTTTTTAATATTAATTTGAAAACAAAATTTATCAATGCGACAAATTTTTAAAGCAAATCAAATTTTGAAAAAGTTTTTAATTTTGTATTCAATCTTATTACAGAACTTATTTTTATAGTGTACAATGTACACTGTACAGGTATCTTAATTTAAAATGTTTAGTAATTTTTATAAAGTTTGATGTGGTGTGAACGTCCTAGATTTTTTCTTAACAAATCGAAAATAATTAAATTTTTTTTTATTAATAGGAATTTAAGAAGACTCTTAGACATCCCGAATCCAGTCAACAAAAATCGCTAGGAAAGAGTTCACTTTTTCGATCTACAGGATCTCTAGGATCCCTTGGGATGATGTTTTCATCTACCCAGAACAAAAGAACACCCGGTATTCCGGATTTGAATAAGATGTCGAAGAGTGAAGAAACATTAGATTCTATGAAGCACAGTATAACTGACACAGAGGAATCCGAAGATGACGAAACTATACAGGATGTTAGTATTTCTAGTGAGGATTACGTGGACGAAGATAAGAGTGATAAAAAACCGTCGCCAACATTTGTGAGGAAGTTTAGAAAGTAGATTGGTATTTTTGTATCGCTCAGAAAATATTTTTTGGAAACTTTTTTAATAAAACTTTTAACTTTATATTGTTTTTCAATCATAAAATAAATAGGGACATTTTAGTAATAAATGAGGTAATAAATTATGGTTACACATAATTATCCACTACATAATTTTGAAAAAAAAAATCTGTTTATCTTAAAAATGATGACAATATTTAATAGATCAGACGAACTTACCTAGTACCCTACTCTCAAACTCAGGAGAGTGCTCCTACACCTTAGACTAAGTCCTACACTCACTGCTCCATCACTAGTGTTGCCAGATGACCAAATTCAAATTGTACTGTCATGATATTCCTAATCCGACCCTGTGTACGCACGCAACCAACTCGTGATCGAAGCAACGCTGACGTGTGGAAACAGCCGGACCGCGTCTCGAATGTACAAGAATACGACGGAATGTCTGCCGCTGATGCACTGGAAGCAGCTGGAATGGCGGGGAGTGCCGATTAGTCATAGGGGTAGAATCTTCGCGAGTCTAAGGCATTTTCCATTAGCGGAGTTGGACTAATATAAATAGCCGACGTATCAGCGCCGAGTAGAGTTTAATATAGAACGTTGTATTGAATAGTTAAAGTATAAGAATTGTTAGTTAGTGTCTAAATATTATATAAATTAAATAGTACGTCTGAAATAAATTGTAAATAGTGTGTTTTTAAATAAATAAACTTTAAATAAATTAGACTTTCGTCACAGTACCATGGTGTAGATTATTATTGATTTTTTCATGACCTTACTAGTGTGATGTTTTCGAAGGCTAGTTAATTTAAGAGTTTATGAGGTTAGGGTTGGGATAATTTGATAATAATTTTATTGAATAAAAATTAAAAACCTTTTCTTGTTTCAAAAATATTTATTTCTTCTTGAAATCATTTCTGATTTTGATCTTCCAATTGTTTTTGTCTATTCATTTTTAAAGATGTCGTGAATTTCATTTCATCTGTAGGTGTGAAACTTACACAAACATTACCCAAAAGATTCCCGCACTTTCCTTATGTAAAGTGACGACCGGTTAAATTTTCTAAAACTTTGGTATGCTATTATACCTAGTAACCAAAAGTGTCAATAGGCTCAACTCAATCCTATGACTGGTTTTCGATATACAGGGTGTTAAAGTTGAAAATTACGAGCTAGATTGAATTTCTATTGCATACACACGTTCAGGGGCCCCGCAAGGCTTATCGCCGCCCGCGTGCCGGAAATATGTTGGCGCCCTTTGAATATATGTAGTACTTATATAAATAATATTTTGAAGAATAACAACTTTAAGCAGTTACATGTTTTTTAAAATTTTCTGGTTTGCTGTAATATTCTTGTAGTCGTTTAACATTATTTGAGCGAATTGCGAAACCACATTTTATTTTATTTTGTAATGAAACAACAGATATTTCAAAAACCAATATTTTAATCTTACAAACGAAAAAACAAACTAAACAGTAAAAAAATAAAACATTCAATTATCCAAAAATTAAATAGGGTTTTTTCTGGATTTGGCTGCTGCAAATTCTTTTATAATATTGTCAAAATCAATTTTATCGAGGATCTGTTGCTCTATAGCTAAGACTGACAAACCCGATAATCTTTCTTGTGACATGGTAGACCTCAAATAATTTTTAATTATTTTTAATTTTGAGAAGGATCTCTCACCAGAAGCTACATATACAGGTAAAGTAAGCAGGATTCTTAACGAAATGGTAATATTTGGTAGAGATGAAGTTGATTGTTTTCAAATATATATATTGTAAAATGTCGAGGGGATTTGACGCTTCAGGTAATGAAAACAATCTTAGGGCTTTTATCTCATTAATTAAATCATTTAGAGCACGACAGCATTTTAAAGGATCCTCGTCATTTAATTTAAAAATATCACTAAAAAATAACAAAAACGTTGTCGTAATCAGATATTTCAAATCTACTATTTAAAGAACTTAGTATTTAATCAATTATTTTTAAAAATAAATTTATTTTAAACGCTATTTTTGGATCTTGAGGACCTTGAGGTGTCTCATCTCTGTTTATAATCGAACAGTTTTGGTTTATACTTTCATCTAACAGTATTTAATGGAGGAAAACCTTGCTCTATCTCAAGAGCGGCTGCTAGTTCTCCAGCTTGAGCAAGTTTTTCCACGAAAACATTATCATCTCTAAAATTTTTAAAATTATCAACTAGATTCTTTAAATAGCTTTGGCACACTTTAATATATCAGTCGTTACACTTTGCATCATTTTGCTTACAATGCCAATCTGGAATAAAATATAATACCAAACTATTACACTGCAAATAAATTTAAAAGATTGGATACTTAATAGTATAGAACTTGCTTTATGCCTAGCTTCTATGTTAAAAGTATCATTTTCTGCCATTTCTAGAAAGCTATCACAAATTTGAATTAAATGAAACTTTAGCGGCCTTATAGCATCAATCCTACTTGACCATCTAGTATCACTTAGGGGTTTTAGATTTAACTTCGGGACATGCTTTTTTTATAATATCTCACCTTTTTGTGAATGAAGAGAAAAATACATAAAGTTCTTGTACAATATTGAAAAAGTTAACTGTTTCATTTGAAACTTTAGCAGCATCATTTACTGCTAAATTTAAGCTGTGTGCAGTACATGGCACAAAAAATACCCTGGGATTAGCATCGAGTATGCGTTTTTGTAAACCAGTATGTGTTCCGCGCATATTGGCCCCATTATCATACCCTTGACCTCTCATGTATTTGATAACTAAATTCAAATTTTTCAAAAGTCCAACGACAAAATCAAATAGCCCTTCCCCTGTCGAGTCGGATCAACGCTATGAAACTCTCTTGCATATGAGCCTTTTTAGAAATGTCATTTAGAACGACATAACGCAAAACGAGGCTTATTTGCTCTGTATGATTTGTATCCGGTGTACAGTCTAAAATTATTGAATAATATTTGGAACTGCGAACCATATTCAAATATTATTTTTTACTTTAGAACACATTAATTCAATTATTTCGTTTTGTATCTGCCTAAATAATGGGCCATTTTTAAAGAATTTGTTTGTGAGTTTTGCACTCGACTAATCTGTTCTCTCATCACAGGATCAAAAGAGGAAATCATCTCGACAGCTTTGAGGAAGTTTCCATTCCATTATCAAATTCAAAAAGTATTTTAGAAGAACCTTAGAACGCTAGACATTGTCTGGATAAAAATTTTACAACTGAAACAATTCTTTCCAGAACGTCATGCTAATATTTTTTTTTCAGTTTCTAAAACCCGTAAGTGATGATCGTTTACGGTTGTGGATAATTTGAATATTTTTTTTAAATTTATCCATGTATACATGTGAACATTATGTACAACTGATGTTTCATCTCTTTTTATGGCTAAGGACACATGTTGCCAATCAGAAAAACCATGAGTATCAGAAAAACTATTGAGTCTTACTGAAAATTTTACAACAAAAACAAAATATCGATTTTTCGAAACTGAGTAAATGAGCCAAATTCTATTTGCTTCTTCTCAATTTCCCAGTTTTCTGACAAAGTACTTACTTGAAAATTTTCTTTTGTCTTTGTCTTTATTAGTTGGAAATTGATAATTGTTTCCTATCAAAGGAGGACCACAGTCAACCAATATTCTGACTTCGTCATTGGTAATGCTTCTGTGCCATAAACCGGGGTCCTCTGATATAAGAATACTAGTATTCTCAGTCACCGCTTCAGTAGAAACTTCATCGTCAGAAGTGTCACTTGTAGCCGTCTTTGTTGGGATGGTCGACTCTATAGAGAATATATTTTCGATAAGTGATGATGATGATATATGTTGATGGTTCACATGTTGCAGAAGATGGTGGTGCCGCCACTTCAGAAACTGCATTTTCACCTTCCTCTATCGTTTCAGTGTTGGAAACATGACTTTTTTGCAAGAAATGTTTCATACTACCCGCCATCTTCTCCCTTTCTTTGTGTTTAGAATTGATTGATATTCAAATTTCGTTGAATTAAAAAGACGTTTATTCTTTTATATAAGATTGACAACTCATATCTCAAACCAGTACAAAAGTCATATTCCAAAACAAAAACAATATAACAATCTAAAATTAATATCTTGATTAAGATTATAGTCGTATTCCTTGAGGGTGCAACGGCATTTACAAATTAAATGTCTTAGAGGTGACCAATAATGGTGAAGCTTGTATAACGGAACTGAACATGCCGCCGGCCTTGAAACCATAAGTTTCAATATAAAATTATTTACTCGCTTGTTGAAATGTTTTCTAGGGGTAATAAGCACATTTTTTGAACCGCACGCTTCACTAAACCTGTTGAAGTTCGTACTGTAGCCACTCTCGTTAAACCGTCTGGTCCTGGATGAAGTTCTGTTATGCGGCCTAATCGCCAGGACTGGGATGGAGTATTTTCTTCTACAAGCACTACCAAATCGTCGATATTAAGAGTTGGTACGGATCTGTCTTTCCACTTGGTGCGTTGCTGCATGTTGGATAAATATTCTCGGGTCCAGCGTTGCCAAAAGTGTTGTGAAATTTGTTGCAAATGTTCATAATGTTTGAGTCTATTGGTTGGGATAGTGGTATAGTCTGCCTGAGGGATTGAAGAAAGTGGTTCTCCAATAAGAAAATGTCCCGGTGTTAGGGCGGCTAGGTCTTGAGGATCATTTGACATAGGAGTAATGGGACGAAAATTCATTATCGCTTCTATCTGTGCAAATACAGTAGCCAAGTCCTCGAAAGTAAGATGACAATTACCTACTACCCGTGTAACGTGATATTTGGCACTTTTAACGGCCGCCTCCCACAAACCGCCATGATGAGGTGAGTGGGCAGGAATGAATTTCCATTCAATATTATTTATTAAGAAAAAATCCGAAATTTTTCGTTCCTTGATAAATGTATTGATTGATTGTACAACTTGAGTTAACTCATTATGAGCACCAACAAAATTAGTACCATTATCAGAGTACAGAGTTTTACAAAGCCCGCGACGGGATACAAAGCGTTTTAAAGAATTCAAAAATGAAGCACTAGTT